GTGATAACCTCACTCCATTGAGTTGCTGAAATCCAAGTATATTCAACTTTCAAGCATGCGAGAATTTCGCTCAGCTGTGAGTTAACACATCTGCATTGCAGGTTGCCAGGCAATAATTATGATTAGAATAGTGCCAGTTCACCCCCATGAATGCGTAATGGGCTGCCCCCATGTTTTTGCCTACCCACGCGAGCATTGAGGGTTCATTACAGTGTGCTAATACAGGGTGCTACTCAGGGTGCTAATACAGACTGCTTTAGAAAATAATATGATTTAAGGAAAGTAAACCTTGTTCAATAAACATTTTCCTTTGCAATTGAACTGTGCAACTGTAGCCTCAGATCCACAATTGCAAAAGCAGTTCAGTCCTTTGTTAACAGTTAACAAATCCATGTTTAACCCTCCTCTTGAGGGTCAAAAGGTTATCCGACACTTACTCTTCGCATGTCAGCAGAAAGTACATTTCATGGTCCTTTCAATAAAGCCATAAAAATGCTCGGTCACCGCTAAAACAAAACAGTTTTTCAATCGCTCTATCAGACCATGTCCTCAGAAAATGTCTAAAATCTGCCCTGTGCCCCATTGACCTTTGACATGTGACCTCCAAGTTCGGCACAGTGATGGCTTTTCCTACCATGATGCTATACACCGACTATCACGAGCCTAGGCCGAGCCGTTTAGATTTGTGCCGCAATTCTGCATTTCCTCCCTATATCTTAAGTTAAGGAGGGAATGTTCCACCTTCTTTTACACCTCTTGACCTTTGACCTTTGACCCCCAGCTTCAACATCCCAACTCGTTTTCGGATTACACCCCCCACGTCCCGAATATCGTGCCCGTACGTCGAGCCGTTTAGATTTGTGCGCAACTGTTGACGGACGCACGAACGGACGCACGGATGCACGGACGCACGCTCATGCGATTCTACAAGCTGCATCTGACTATGTTAGATGAGCTAAAAATTAACAGTTAAGCAGCTAGACACCGAACCGGTAACTAGAGAAATACAACATCTGACATGGCTATGTAATGATAACACTGAAACAGGTCAGCAACCAGCATCCGCGCACGGACCTTAATGTAGCCGTTGATGCTGCGTATCATGTCCCCGTACCTTAATGTAGCCGTTGATGCTGCGTATCATGTCCCAGTACCTTAATGTAGCCGTTGATGCTGCGTATCATGTCCCAGTACCTTAATGTAGCCGTTGATGCTGCGTATCATGTCCCAGTAGGCACGCTGGTTCTTCGACAGCT